CTGGACACAGACCCCAGTGCGGTGACTGCCACCAGAAATCACTTCAGACCCGACCCGAGTAGGGAATGGACTACGCTCGTCCGAGGGTCAAATCGACTCCTATTTATTCTTCATTCATTTTGTACATAATATACTATTCCAACCACTCTGGACAGTGGTGGTTGCTTCTCCTAAGCAACCGGGCCTGGAAGATTGCAGTTGCTCGGGTTTACCCTATTCACCCTAGTACCTCGATAGATATGTTTGTTGGGGTTTATCCACCGGAAGGCGTTTACGATTAGGACTAGGATATAGAGATTGGCGTTTGGACTTTGGGGTTAGAATAAACATTTAGAATAAGGATTTACGGTTATGGTTGGAGTCTAGCTTAGGATTCGGTTTAGTGTCAAAGTTACAGTTAGGGTTGGAGTGAATGTTGGTGCTAGGGTTTTGGGGATTAAAGTTGCGTTTGGAGATTGGATTGGGTTTAGGGTAGAAGATTGAGGTCAGGACTATGTTCAGGGTTAGGATAAAGTGAGCATACAGCGTAATATCTGATATTTTCAGGTGTTTTTCAGCGAGTAACCTCGGATTACCTCTTTTCCGCCCGTTTACATACTCGAAATTTGTATCTTCCAACTTTCGCGGACTGCTCAAGCACTTCGTTAAATTACATGGCTGAAATGTGATTTTTTTTCAATGCCTACCGCAGACCCCGTGAATTACGGCGCTCATCTGCTCTTATGCTAAAAGTACTATTTATATCTCTCTTGTAAAAAAGGAGTAGGTGTGCTATCTCCTGTCACTTGGATTGCATGTCCAATCATTGCCGAAATTTACCAACACAGAGAACCGCTGTACAGCGCCGCAATCTAAATATGTTAGCCCCATGATTTTGTGCAGGGAATGGGCTGTGTTAATCCTAAAATCGGAATATTCTCCTCCTCTAAACTGTTTAAAGACGTACAACCGAACTCGTACTCGCTGAATCTCCTACACAACAGGATTATATCATCTCGATCTTTCTATCCGTTGGGATCCTGTAAATTTCAAAATAATCTGACACAAAAATTTCGCATCATAGGGATTGTTGACCTGAACTTGGAGACTTCTCCGAATTGAAGACCACAAAAATTTGCGAAATTAACTACTCAAAATAAGGGTGTTTGCTGCCAGGTTGGATAAACGGCAGTTCTTCTCTAAAAGGATGGTTGAAGATGTTTGAAGATGGTTCTAAAAATGCTATTCTCTTTACATCCGTAGAGGTTTTTAAAAGGCAACTGGATGAAGATTGCGTTTCTGACCACAAATCCATCTGACCACTGTCGTATTGGTGTCTATAGTGAATACGTCTTATTAATTATAATGCTACCTTACGCATTTAAGTAGTGTTTAATTAGGGTATTTTATAACGTCAACTCAGTGCACATTCCCCTTGGCGCTTGAAGTCTCCCGAGATCATACCGTTTCCTCTGGAGCATATGCGTATCTTAACCAACTACTACGGCGCGCATCTATATACGGTTATATTAGTGCCAATGCTGCTAATCTTAAAAATTGTTTGTCTACCTGCAAGTTTTGAATATTTTATTTTGTTATTTGTTCGATGTCGTTTGTCTTTAAGTTTTGAAGATTGCGTAAACAGCAGAATCGACTGCATCCAATAATTTTCGAGAGAGCTGCTTCCTCTCGTTGCTTAGCGTGAATAAAGTAAGAGAAAATACAGAATTGGCAACTAGAGCCAAGGAGCACTTACCTAGCTGGTTATTGAAACAAGAAAGGAGAACTTATCGTTCGTCGATCACTGAACATCTGCTAGATATGAACCATTCTGTGGGCCCTAAAACTTCTTTTCGAGTACTTGTTCGGGTATGAACAACTCGCACCTTACGCTACGTAGAGGCAGCCTACATACGGCGATTTAAAGCCGACCTATGTTAACAATCGGAGCATGTGGTGAACCTAACTCTGCCGTGGTAACACTAGCTCCCTGTTTACATAATTCCCTTCCCAACGTTTTTGCCTTAGACGTTGTACCCCATTTTTGCTGCCCAGAGTGTTTTAACTTTCATACGTTATTGATTGGCCTCTTGGCCATTTCCTAAGTCCTTGCTCTTTTTATCGATTTTTCTGTATGAATTCTATTTTGTATTTTCTCTAACGTTATTCACGTTATGCACCAAGAGGAAGCAGCTGATGAGCACTCTCGAAATTAATGGATCCAATAATTTCTGCTGTTTACGCAATCTTAAAAATTGCACCAGGGAAAAGATGCTTTAAATTTCTAAATTTTGACATACTTTCGCTGGTTGTAACAAAGAAGGCGTTCGAAGGTGCACCTCTAAATTTCTCTCAAGTAAACTAAGCTGGACTAACATGACTGCAAAGCCCTTTCTGGAGTCAATGGCCTCCGAGGCCATCTCAGGAAGAGGGGGGGGGGAAGAGAGAGCGAAACTACCTTCTAACGAAAGTTGTCAGCGCGGCCAGCTGCGTGTAGATGACCGCAAGCAGCTCTCTCGGTTGGCCAAGCGGAATGGGGATGTAGCTGGACAGGCCTGGCACCGAGCGCACTCCGCAGAGGTGGGACAAACAGTTTAAGAGGGCGCCGGTACTGTGTATGGCGATATTTTGATGCGAGGGGGCGTTGCTCTTCCGGCCCACCTTGGGCAGGACGCCCGTCCTAGTGGTTGAGGAGGAGTGTGAAGCGGTAGCCGCAGTGTGCACTTCCATAATCTTTTCCAGGGACAGGCAACTAAAGGAAGACGGGTAAAACATTGTGACAGGTGATTATGAAGAGAAGGCAAGGCTGGGGTAGATGGGGAATGAATGAGAATCCTAACTTGCAGTCTGAAATGGTGTCTTTGAATGCACTACTGCACTTTAACCCGTCACCTTTTTGAATCAACCATCACAATGGAGGTAACTGTACCCTTCAAATAGGGTAACGGTACAATAGTAAATCTCAAATCTTCGTTGGCGCCAGTGCAAGAGATTAAAACGGTTCTCCAACTGCCAGGAAATGCAGGCATACAGGCTATGGACGAGCCAATCACAAGCGCCCACAAACTGTTATCATCCAGTCAGCTGACCAAGCACTGACAACTCACAGGTTAGCACTTGAAGTTCACTCGCGTGCACATCATCTTAACGAACAGACAAGCGTATGCACAGAATACACGCCCTCATCTGGTGTCTTTCCCCTCCTGTTCCAACATGAAACTTGGCTTGATGATTGTAGTTGTTAGGATGGTAGCCTGACCAAATGCTAGCAACCTTGTCGGCTCTCCTAGGGCGTCGAGCCTGCCGCTGACCGCCACAATGA